AACGTGGTTTAGCGACAAATTGATTAAAAACTGAATTACAATCACGGTTAAGAGAGGCCATGGAGGCGGAAAACATGAATGTTGAGGAATATGTCTTTCACATGGAATTAGAGGAAGAGACAACAAAGATAGAAGAAAAGAAAGAAGCTCAATGCTCGTCAAAAGTGGTGGACATAAACATGATTTTTGGTGCAATATCGCAGATAGGAAAATTGCAGAATGCACGTAGGTCTCAGATGTCAACGCAGATATCGACACAAATTAAAGAGCAGGATGCACGTATGTCCCTACAAATGTCGCAGTTAGAAACGCGATTGTCAACGCATTTGGAGGGGCAGTTCGTATTGCAAGATGCACGTATATCAGCACAGGTATCCTTACAGTTAAGAAAGCAGTTCGCAGCGCAAGATGCACTTATATCAGCACAGGTGTCCGCACAGTTGAAAGAGCAGGATGCACGGATATCGCAGGTGAGCTCTCAAATAGCAGAAGTTTTCTCACAGATTTCGGAAGAGCGGGATAAAATTAAAACTGAAGTGGATGAATTGAGAGATCGTATTCGATCAATTCGAAAAGACGACATCTTCAAATAATTGGAACGCTGAAGATAAAGTAGCTGCATTGTTGGTTGCATTAAAAGGATCTGCAGCGGAGATATTACAGACCGTTCCAAACTGCGAGGCGAGTAGTTATGAAACGTTGATGGGTGCATTAGAAAGATGGTATCGTAGTGAGCACAGGAAGCAGATATTTCAAATGGAGTTGCGAAATCGCCGCCAGAGGGCCAATGAGTCGTTGTAGGAATTTGTCTTTGTTTCTGTTGTTGTTTGCAGAAACAGTTTCGTATGCTCTGACACAGGAAACTGCATCTCTGCTTTGCAATCAAACATTTAAAGCTCACAAAGTGGAAATAGAGGAACACACTTGGGTGAACCAATTACTTGAAAAAATTGACAACATGCAGAAAGCACTGGAAAAATCTACGGAAGCGCATTAGAAATATGATGGTGTGCTTAAATGCTTCAACTGCGGAAAAAGTGGCCATATTGCACGCAACTGTAACAAGCCCAATAATCCAGTTGGATGGAAACGAAAAGCTGAGGCCAAAGAAGACATTATAGAAGTTCGATTAATGACTATAACATCAGACTGGGATCCGGAGAAGCTACGAAAATGTCAACAAGAGGATCCAGATTTGAAAAATGAAATACATGGATTGGAGATGAATAAACGTCCAACGAGAGAAGAAATAGCTGCAGAAAGCCCAGCCGCAAAGGCTTATTGGGCACAATGACATAGTTTGAAGTTAGTGTCTGGCTGAGTTTTGATGATTGTTCCAAAAGTAAGAATTCCTGAAGTTCTCAACGAGCTGCATAACGGTCTAAGTGGAGGACACATGGGTGTCACTAAAACCGTGGAGAAATTAAAACAAAGATTTTATTGGGTTGGTTGTCGTCAATCAGTTACGGAGTGGATCACCAATTGTGCCGACTGCATTGCAGTTAAAGGGCCGAGATCTAGGAGTGATAGCCAGATAAAGCTGTACAATTCTGGTGCGTCACTTAAAGGAATTGCCAAGGATGTAGCTGTTTCGATACTCATGGACTTTTTCAGCAAATAGCAACCAAGAGGCAAAAACAGTAGCGGACGTATTCATCAATAATTGAGTAACGAGATATGGTGTTCCAAAAGAGTTACATTCTGACCAAGGGAGGAATTTTGAATCAGCTCAAGTTCAGGAGATATGCCAGAAACCGGGTGTTCTGTACGACTACCACTACATCTGCAGTCCGATTACATGATAGAATGATTCAATCGAACATTGGAAAAACATTTGAGGAAAGTTGTGAAAGATTGGGATACCCATATATTCTGATGGTTTATCGGTCCTCTGTCCATGAAACCACGGGGCAGAATCCAGCAAGGGTAATTTTTGGTAATGATCTTCGATTACCGATTGATTTGAAGTTTGGCATTAACGCCATTGGAAGAAGGATCCTGAGGGAGTCAACAGCATCCTAGAAACGAGATGAAAAATATTCACGATATGGTAAACAGTGCACCGAAATTATGAGCGATAAAATGAAAGCAAAATACGACAAGGTAATGAACTGTGTGGGGTTTAAAGAAGAAGATTGGGTATTGTTATATAACCCACAACGGAAAATTGCTGTCGTTCCAATTACAGTATAGTTGGGAAGGACCAAACCAGGTAATTAAACGACTCAACGTTGTAGTGTATCGCATACGGACAATTTGAATATCTAGGAATAAAATGAAAGTAGTTCATCTGGAACGGACTGCAGCGTTTGGTACCAGAAATATGTCTAATCCGGATGATCAATCTTAGGTGGAGGGCAGTGTTCGCCACACATGCCAGACTAAACTAGAATCGACGATAAACTTCTGGAACCAACTAGATAGACAAATGCGTAGTTGACAGAATATTCGAGTCGAGATGTTTTGATAAAAATCTACTATATAAGGGCTGCCGTATTGTGCAGCACATAGAGTTCTAATAAGAGTGTTTCTTTGTAAAAAGCTATACGCAATAAGTTGTAAACTCGAATAGCGAGTAATAAGTGTTAAGGAATTAGAAATATTAATAAGTGTTTAGCATTAAATTGGGACTTTTATTTAATAATCTATGACGATTTATCAAGAAATCCGTTACAATATCGCTAGATATTATTATCGGATGAACACAAAAAATTATGTACATAAATATTGTAACGGATTTCTCGATAAATCGTCTACCTGTAACTCACTCTTGAGTTCGATCACTGGATTGTTAAATAAAAGTCCCAATTTAATGGCTACACACTTATCTTTATTTCTAATTCCAACAACTTAACAATTATTGTTCGTTATTTGAGCTTACAACTTCTTGCTTATGTCTCAATTGTTCTTATCACGACAACATTCTAACTAGAACTGTCCTTGCTGCACAATCCAGCAGCCCTTATATAGTAATTCTGTAACAAAACATTGCTTCTAGAACATTCTGGCAACTACGAATTCTCTAACTAGTTGCTTCTGGCAGTTTATCGTTGATTCGATTTTGTTCTATCATCCGTGTTCGTCACACTGCCATCCACCTAAGTCTGATCGTCCCGATTAGACATATTTGCGATACCAAACACAAAGCTTTTATGTCCCCCATTTCGTCTTCTAGGCTGGTGCTGACATCGTTAGCCGTCCTTCTCTTGGAGTTGATTCCATCCGTTTTCCGGATACTCAGTTTCTGGTACATCCCTTGATTTAAAGCTGACTCGAGATTCCATTCTTGATCAGAACGTAACTCCATTGGAACACCGAATCTCGTTACCCACTTGTTGATGAATGCCTCCGCCACTGGTTCACTCTTGGTTAGGAATTGTGTATACTTGTGGCCATTCATTGAAATGGTCCTTGACCACCAAAACATGACTATTTCCTAATTTATTGGTGGGAAATGGACCATCTTCATACACGCCTATTTTCTCAACTGGCGCACGCGAATTGTGCTGTTTCATCTGCCCATGACTCCTGGACCTTGATCCTTTAGCTACAATGTTATCAGCATATTTCGCAATCCTTTCTATAGCTGATTGCCAACCAGTCCAATAAAAGCTTTGCTTCAAATTCTCCAATGATTTCATGTCTCTCAAGTGCCCTCCTCTTGGACATTTGTGTTGCACGTTAAGAACATCAGGAATTCCAACCCTTGGAACAACCATAAGTACTCGGAAGGTTTGCCCATTTTCGCTTTTCCATACTCGATGCAAGCAGCCATACACTAACTTTAAACTGCTCCGTTCTGCCCAATATGATTTTGTGACTGGCCTTCCTGTAGTTATTTCTCCAATCGTTGTACATTGGTTCAACTCCACTTCATGTAATGCACCTTCCAATTCTGGATGTTCTGGCAAAGAGTCATCCGTTTCAGGTTCAATTTTAGGCTGATCTTTCACCTGTGATGGTTCACACGCTTCCTCCTCTTCCAACTGTGAGAACACCTGCCCTGACATACGCAGTTCCAGCTCTTTCGACTATGAGGACCCTTGTACTGGTACACACGCTTCCTCTTCTTCCGACTGTGAGGACACCTGCGCTGGCATGCGCCATTTCAGCTTTTCCGACTGCGAAGACACTTGGGCTGGTATACAAGCTTCTTGCTCTTTATACTGTGAAGATCCCGGTTCACATGCTTCCTCCTCTTCCAACTGTGAGGATACCTGCGCTGACATATGCACGTCGAGCTTTTTCGGTGCTGACAACTTTACTGAAAAACGTGTATCTTGCGCTGCGAACAGCTCTTCCAAATGCGTTGACAATCGCGTTTCCATTTGAGACATACGTGTATCCTGCTCTTTAATTTGTGTCGATATTTGCGATATTGCGGCAAAAACCATGTTTATGTCCACAATCTTTGACGAGCATTGAGCCTCTTCCTTTTCTTCTATCTTTGTTGTGTCTTATTCTAATTCCATGTGAAAGACATATTCCTCCACATTAATGTTTTCCGCCTCCATGGCCTCTCTCGACCGTGATTGTAATTCAGTTTTTAATCCATTTGTCGCCAAACTCCGTTGCTCCAGCTCCTTTTTCAGTTGTAGAATCTTCAGATCGTTAAGCTTGGCCATTTTCAAATAATTATCTCCTTGGGAATTTATTTGACAATCCCCCTTCTGACACCAATTGTAACGGATTTCTCGATAAATCGTCAACCTGTAACTCACTCTTGAGTTCGATCACTGGATTGTTAAATAAAAGTCCCAATTTAATGGCTACACACTTATCTTTATTTCTAATTCCAACAACTTAACACTTATTGCTCGTTATTTGAGCTTACAACTTCTTGCTAATGTCTCAATTGTTCTTATCACGACAACATTCTAACTAGAACTGTCCTTGCTGCACAGTCCGGCAGCCCTTATATAGTAAATCTGTAACAAAACATTGCTTCTAAAACATTCTGGCAACTACGAATTCGCTGTCTAGTTGCTTCTGGCAGTTTATCGTTGATTCGGTTTTGTTCTATCATCCGTGTTCGTCACAATATGTATGTATGTATAACAAATGCAAGTATCATAGAAGAAGCTATCACGTTGCCTAAAGTTCTGAATCCGTAACAAACCCTTATATGAACAATCTAGTTTCATTCATATTGTTATTAACATAGCAAAGTATTTTTATTTTACGAATGTAGTTAATTAATAAATTTTACTTTCCATTTGGCACAAACTTTGTTTACGCCCTAGCAAATTTTGTACCCCCAACTTAACGCAGAGAGAAATGTTATTTTTGACATTAAAAAAATTCATATCGCCTAAAATTTATTTAAAAAAAACCTTATGTCGAACTTTGTTATAAAAGTCGTCTTATTTCAAATATTTTCCATTTAATTGAAATAATGGGCGCATTTTTTGACTTAAGAAGTCAATATTCATGTGAATTCAGATGCATTGCTTTTAATTTTTTTTGTTTGTTTACAACTTTTTTGTTTCTTTACATTTTCCATCTATTTTTTCTAAATCAGCTGAGATAATGTGTTGTATATCCCACTAACAAACAAATGGCTCTAAATCAGAGTCGCACAGAGAGATTTCGAGTAGATTAGCTTCAAATCTCCTCGATTACGAGATTAACAAGTGTCATTTTTCTAAATCTAGTAAATTAGTGAGTTAATATACTCAACAGCCTAAATCTCGTGTTTAAGTGTCGGTCGGAATATTGTATTCAAATTTCAAGTAATAGCAAATCTTAAAAATTATTAAATTTTTCTAGTCTCATTAATATTGTAATTAGCGAAGCAAAGTATTTGCTTTCAGTTTTACAAATGTGTTTAAATAATAATTTAAAAATCAAGATAAACGTCGTATTTGCGATTGTTTTGATATTTAAATGTCAAACTTTTACTTTACATTTGGCACAGCAAAATGTATTTAAAGCTAACCGGTACCTTTTTTCTCTGTGTTGAAACGGGGTGACAAAGTTTGCTATGGTGATTGTTATGGCGGCAGTGACAAATGGACAGATGATAACCATATAATCCGATCAACTCTTAACCGGTCAACTCGGCTCCCTTCCTCGAAATTACTACACGAATGTTTTCTGCCGCTACAACAACAACAAGAATATCAACTGTCAACCAAAAGAGAGATTGCCTTCTTATGTTAACCTTATTACTTTTTCGTAATTAACATTTATAGGTCGTGCGCATCAGGTTTTCTACATAAAGGAAGATATTTTTGGGGATGAAGAAGTTGAAGCTGATATTGGTGAGGAAAGTGTGACGACGCAACAGAGCCGGTACCTGATTATGATCCTGAATTCTCTCATTTAATGCATCTAGCGAGCGAGGTTCACACTGCTCTGAAGCGGAGCAAAAAGTACGCAAATCAAAAATGAGTTTCGTTCATGAGTAAGTTGAACTTAACCCATCTTAAAAGATAAACAAGTGCTCCCATTCATACTGTGAAGTCGTCTAAAAACCATCAATTTATAGTACCAATTCTTTTCTTGTACGGAGCCTTACATTCGCATAGAAGATGTTTTACAGTATCCTCTTCTTCTACCTCCTGACAGCTTGTACAATAGTCATTGTAAGGTGCACCTAAATAACCACCACCATTCCCTCACTATCTTTAACAAACCCCTAAGAGACTTGAGTGATTTCAAAGCCGCTTGGCTACTACTTCTTGGTAAACGAAAGGCGATTTTGGTATCCAATTTTTCTGAAAAGACACCACCTCTCACTCGATTATCTAGTTTGGACCCATTAGTTTAGTGGTAGTGGGTAGAAACGTGAACTTACGAAGTATTTTAGAATGTCCCTTATTACAGGCGACTAATTGCGAGGATTCCCTCTAAGAGATCAAGCCATTCTCTCATTATCTTTGACAAAACTCTAAGAGACTTCAGTGATTTCAAAGCCGCTGAATTTTTCATTTGGTACTTTATTGAAAATTTTATTTTTCTCTTTGAATTTTGAACACATGCTTCTTTATTTTATTTTTTATGAATTGTTCTAAATTTTAAAACTTATGTTTTTAAAATTTATGTTGGATCATCCTGGACACAAAACAAGTTAAGAAAAGCCCAAATTTAAGTGTAATCGAACATTTTATATTCTTACAGTTGGCAAAACTTTATATTAAAAAATGTTGTGAAACAATTCCACATTCATCATTCGACGAAAGGGTGATAGGATTGCAATCATGATTGGTATCTTATTAACTTATAGGTCGTAGACTCACTTAGTATGATCACTATATTTTTCTTCCTCTGTCACCCTACAGCCCGGGCTAAATGCAAAACAATCTTACCATTGGTCGCGAACAAAATGGCAGGGGTTCGGATGTGTTAAAACTTTGAAAATATTTTGCTGTAAAATATCTTATTGACGCGCAAAAAATAAAACTAATGGTTGAGACAAAGGCTCCAATGACCAAGGTGTGCAGCAATTCTGGATGATCGATTTCCATCGCCATAATCCTCTCTAAAAAAATCTCTATATCTTTCATACTGCAAATGGGTTTTCCGAGACATTTCATTGCAGCAAATGAACACGTATTTTTAATCACGTGAAAAGTCATGGTCATATACTTCATGCGAACTAGAGGTACAGTCTCCTACCTGGTCACCGTAACTCACAAAAATAAAATCTCTGTACCATAAAGCATTTATACTGTCCAGTTTGTCTGATTCGAAAAACTACCTGTATCTAAATTACCACATTCCGAAACTACAAGTATCTCCACTACTGGCACTAAACATTTTTATCGAAAACTGTCTCTTTTCTTAACCTTTACTCATGTGGTGATGCAACAAATGCCAATGCAAGCATATAAATCATTTCCAACGAAATTTAGGTGTATCTGATAGGTGCATCCATTTCATCCGCCTAAAAATTAGAAATTAGAAATAAATATTGTGACGAACACGGATGATAGAACAAAATATCAATACTTTCCAAGGCACCTTCCGAGCCACGTGGATGTATGCGCTTTATAACTTTCACTGCCGATGAATGCTAACTAAGTTCCGCCGTGGAACCACACAATGGCAATAACAAAATGAAATTTAATGTTTAATAATTAATCAAGAGTAAAGTTCGGTAGGTAGACATGTGCCGGACTAAATCGGATAATTGAATTGCACCTTTTATGGCAATACTTTCATTGCTATAACTGCGTTGGAGGTTTATCTCTACACAACGACTTATAGAGAGCTTGGTGCGTGGTCCTGCACCAATCCCCATCGACATTTTCCAGCCGTCGGTGTACTACTTGATAGTGTTTTCCCTTAGCTGTCGGTCCAGCGTGGAATCATTCCATTTCGCCCTACTGACAAGGGAAACTTTAAACTTCTTAGTGAAGCTTACACCTTTGGTAGTGCTGTCCCTTGCCTTCCCCCTGCCAAACCCTTCTGCTGTCATTAGAAGCAAAGTAGGTTTGACTGTCACTTCCAGTGCTGCTGGTGCATTCACATATAACTTTCCTCGTTTTACGAGACAATCCATACTGAAACTGCGAAGCACAGAAAACAAAGTGTATGATACAATGAACGCTTCTAAGGACGACATGATGCGAGACTCTCTCATTTACCCAAATTTTTCTGTCATTCTCTTTCTCTGAAGATTATGGAATTTTGAACAGCAGATATCAAAAAAGGCGGGATGCCAGAAATAAACACGCAAAAAATAGCTAACAAAAGCAGTGCGAACGAAATTTCGAGTAACGACACAAATAATTTTGAATAACGTGCAACTAAAGTTTTGTTGCTAATTTAATTTAAAACGTTAATCATAAAACCATGATATTTTGTTATCACTTTAACTGTTGCTTTTTTATAGTTTTTTTTTATATATACATTATTTTTTTATATTATATGATGTTTTAAAAATTTTGTAATAAGAATACACATGCTAAGGGCTGTATATGCATGATATAGGTCTACTTGGGAACTGAGGACCTTTTAATAGCATCTAAATGCAAAATACCTAAAAGGTTTTCGTCGTTCGATAGCGACGCAAATGTAAAGCACGTTATACCTAGAGTTGAACAACATTAACCTTTAAATAACATCTAAATGCAAAATACCCAAGAGTTATTATTTAAATACGCTATTCATTTTCTCTCGACAGTGGCATGATTGACTAATGTTATAAAACATGTGGGTTTTGACAGCTTTTTCTCGAATCAAAGAGTTTCGTATCATATCATTTATGACAAAACTGTTAAGACATTTGGAATTGTACGTGTAGACAAGCAGTACTTCATTCAGCTATATGAACGTACGTAAAGTGTATGGCACAAACAGTCACCTACGCAGAACCGTGGACCGAATCAGCTGATACGACCTATCTTATGAGAGCGCATTCTAAATGATCGTTTTTACCGTCCGCTTCAACAGACCGTACGGTAGGATATCCGTGAAAATTGAATTTTTCCTAGAAACGAGTAAGCTTAGAGTAAGAGAGAAGTCTCTTGCAACGCAGGGTTTCGAATATCGATATTTTGTAGTAATAAAAAAGTAAACTTAAAATAACTCAAAATCATAGTCGAACACACTTATTAATTAATAGGTAAACTATTTTTAATAGGCAGATTTTAGTTTTGTGCTTTTACATTATGAAAAATTACAACTATAAAAAAAAATTGTGAAAAATCGTGTATACAAATAGAACAATGGCAACATTGGTGAAATGAAAACAAAAGAGAATAACTGATTTCTGCGTTGCAACTACGGCCATAACTTTTGACTAATTTGGTTTGATACGGGCGGTAAGTACGGAAGGGAGGAATGTGACTGTTTATGCTATTAGTCGATATATTGGATCAAGTGATAGGACTATGTACGGTTAAGAGAATTATTGGAGTTGTTTCATCCATTGTAATTGTTTTTATTTCTTGAAAAGAAATGAAATGGAGTACTTACGACCAGTATGGAATTGTTTAAGAACATTTTGTGGATGCATTCACTGCTCGGAAGATATTGGAAATCAGGTTAGTTTAGGAATGCAAATGGTACGTTGTATTTTAATCAATCACTGTTGCAGTATAACTATGAGCCAAGTGAACGGACTTACCTATTAGCTGATCCTGCAATTCATAATAGTCCAGCTTTAAGGCAAACTAATTCTGAAAATCTTAGCAACGAGTTTGCGCAATCTTTACCTAAAAAAGATGAGAATGCATTATGTCGCTTAGTGCAAAGTACAGCCATGTAAGTCAATTTAAATTTTTATATATTCTTAAAAGGTGTTATTAAGTTATACAAAATAATCCTAATGCAGATCAATAATATATATAGATACAGCTGCAGTTTTCGGAATATTTACGATTTTAAATGATTTATAAACTTATATTTTCAATTTTTATATCCACTAACTCTCCACTAATTCGTTAGTACATACTTATTTCCATTATATAGTGCAAAAAAAGCTTTAATTCAATATTTAAATCATTGTTCAGTTCATAAATTTTACAACAACAACAACAAAAGAGTTGCAAAATTTCAAATAACCAGTGTACCTTGTCGACATCATTTTTAAATGAACTGAAAGAAATGAAAACAGATAATGCCCCAAATAAGGAATCCAAAACCTAGAAAAATAATATATCAGAGAGCATTGATGTTAAGGATTATGTTCTACCCTCTGTGACAATGTTACTCTTTCTTGTAGAAATCCGTTTTGCGTTGACGTAAAAAATAGCCCTGGTCGGCCTAATACCGGGGTGTACCAAGGTCTTTTCGCGCTGAAATTCTTTTTGCATTGGCGGCCTTCGACGGCGCTTCAAAAAAAATAACGCTGGTCAGTCTAATACCGGGGTTTATTAAGTGAAGGAAACTAAGGAATTTATTAGTGTCTTTCAACGATTATAGTTCCTGTATTTGGGGTATAATTTCTCTTTTTATTTTATTTTTCTTCGTTTGCAAAATATATTAGTATGGCAACACTGGTTATTTGACATTTACAACCCTTTTGTAATTCTCAAAATTAATAGAATTGAACAATGATTTAAATAATGAATTAAAGCTATTTTTGCAAAATGTAATATAATATTAAATAAATGTCTAAAAACGAATAAGTGAAGTGTTAGTGAATATAAAAGTGACAAATAAAGGGTGTAAAACTATAGAACTTTAAGTTGCAATAAAACAACGATTTATTACTTGATCGTCATGAATTTTATTTATCGGAAAGATAATCTTGTGGCATTACATTTTAAATATGATTTCTGGCATATGACAGCCACGGCTGGCTCAGATGTACTCCAATCTCGACGTCCAATTTTCGATGACTTTCCAACATTTGTGGCCGTGTATCGTCCATTGTATAAGCTTACAAGTAGCCAAAGAATCAGCTGTTTTCCTATGTGTGTGAAACAGCCGTGATCACCTGATCGAATATGCCTTTTTTTGACACAGAGTTTTAAATAAAAGGATGTAGTTTAACAATTTGTTTATGAACATGTATTTGTAATGAAAATAATAATGAAAACTTTCAAGAAAATTTTCGAAACAAAAGATTATATATTTATTGCTTTTCCTCACCACCTCTGAGGTTGCAATATAGGCGCGTTACCGATCTCTTTTGGGTGTTCGGTTCCCCAAGAGGCCTATATTCACCCATATAATATATACAGTTCTAAAACAATCTACTTTTCATAACAATTATAACTCGAAAAGATATATACATAAAATCAGGCACATGAATCAGGTTCATGAATAATAATAACATTAACAATATAAGTTGAAATATTCAACTTGATTTAACAAAAACGAAAATAAATATATAAAAATCAGGTACAATTCAATTATAAAATAATATATTTGATAAAATTGGAAACATTTAATAATATTTCAACACAATAAATATTAATTTAAATAATAAAATGTAAATTTATTCTTTAGGAATTAAAACAACCGAAAAATATTTGAATATGTAATAAAAACATTCTTAAAGTTATAAATTTTAAAACATAACACGGCAACACACTATAGCAGATTTCTGTCATTTGGACGTTTTAGTAGCAGAATAATGGTTGGCAACCCGTACAAAGTGTGACTTTAGTAGCAGAATATTGGTTAGCAACCCGTACCAAGTGTGATTTTAGTAGTAGAATTTTCGAGGCAACCCATACCAAGTGGGATATTTTTGCGTGTGTTTAGTGAAAATCTTAGGATTGGCTACTTGTAGATTTATACAATGGTATCGTCAATCGTCAATAACACGGCGAATGTTGTCTTCCAAATGGTTAAGCGTTTGTGGCTTATACGCATAGACCAATGACTTTACAGAACCCCACAGAAAGTAGTCTGACGGTGTTAAATCACAAGATCTTGGAGGCCAATTCACAGGTCCAAAACTTGAAATTAGGCGGTCACCAAACGTGTCTTTCAATAAATCGATTGTGGCATGATCTGTGTGACATGTTGCGCCGACTTGTTGGAACCACAGCTCCTGGACATAATGGTTGTTCAATTCAGGAATGAAAAAGTTAGTAATCATGACTCTATAGCTCCAGCTTCATCCTCGAAATCGTGGGACGGTATTTTAAAGCCGACCCGTAAAATTCATTGAAAATCGAAAAAAGTATAAATTGGTGAATCTTCCACTCCGTGTAGTTTTAGATGTCCCAGATGCTGCTCGCTAGCGACTTGAATTTAATGCGGCTCTGTACCAAACGTAATACTCAAAATGTTCTGCTAAAATACCATTTTTTTTGCATCGCGATCTGATGGTATGGAGTAAGAAATGTATATACCAGTACCCGCCTCAGGGAAAAATTACGAAACTTTTGCCACCGCGATCTGATGGTACGGACGGATTAAAAATGTATGCACATATATACGCCTCAGACTCATAGTTTTTAAGATATTTGTATTTAAATTTGATAAACTCCAATATTCTGCTGGGTGGTAGTGAAGCGATACAATCCATGTTTGGAAACATGGATCCCAGGGCATTGATTCTGCGTCTACAGACTGCTGTGCAGTTCATTAGCAGATGTTCTGGGGTTTCTGGCTTCATGTCGCATCATATACAGTGACTCACACAACTAACCGGATGCGTGCATTGCCAAAAATGACACTATCCAATCATAGAGTAAAAGTCTTAAAAAGGTTGATATGATACTATTTATTCGTTTCACTCACCTTTTTCACTTTAAAATAAAAACACGGCGTATACAAAAGGGTAACACGGGCGGAATGTCTCGTACGTCTCTTCGGTTTGATCGCTAACGAAAAAAGGAGCCGTTTTGTCCTCTGTTAGCCCCTTTTGAAGGTTGAGCTGTGTAGAGTTGTGTGATGTGATGTGTATGTGTGGGTGTCTGTGGGGTGTGATGTCTGCGTGGTGTGATGGTGTGTGTTAGTGGGTGGAGTCTTCTTGTGGATCGTGTTGGTGTGGTGTGTTGGCGCTCAGTGGCGCGTATGGAGGGGGGAGGCGTAACTCATTTAGCCAGATACATCAAATTAAAGGAAAAATCGTCAATTGTATTTTTGAAAACTTAAAAATTGTATTAAAATTATTCACCGCGCATAACTTAAACAAATAACTTGCTAAAATTCGCTCCACACAACTAACCGGATTTTTCAAAAAGCTAACGATTACCAATATTTCGTAGCATATCCTTTTGCAGATAAAACCGCTTCTAGTCGCCTTGGTAAAGAGGCAACAAGCTTTTGACAAAATTCAGTTGGTATTGCCTTCTAAGCCTCCAAAATAGCCGTTTTGAGTTCAGCAACATTGGAATACTGCCGTTGGTACATTTTTCGACTGACTTCTTGCCATACGGATCTGGGGATTAGGCAGGTGTATCCAGTACATAAGGGCAATTGTATATTAACCAAGTACGATCAATCTCCGATTTGTGCTTTGGATCATTGTCTTGCTAAAATATAAAATTGTCTTTAATTCCTAATGTGACACATGACTGCTTTACATTTTCCTTTAATATGTCAACAAATTGGAAACGATCCATAATACCTTGCACAAAATGGAGGTTGCCCGGCCCTTTAGCCGATATATATACATCCCCAAACCATTACCGACCCACCACCGTGCTTAAGAGTTGCCCTAGCATGTTTTGTCAAGTAAGCTTTGTATTTACTCCGCCATACAAAACTGCGGCCATCAGATCCCTGCAAGTTAAACTTGCTTTCGTCTGTGAAAAGAACCTTAAGAAAGAATATATAATACTGTTATAATCATTACCGAATCATAATTTTGACATTTACCCTTTGCAAGAATTCTTCTTTTTAAATGCAATTTCGAAAATTCTAACCTTTTCTTTCTGTTTTTTCGGACGGATTTTGTACGGCTTTTTTATAACTGCTCTACCGTGTAAATCGAAGCTTCTAAGGCGAATTGTTTCAGCTGAAACCTTCTTCCCTTTTTCATTTTCCAATATATTTTTTACGTTTTCCGCCGAGAAAAAGGGGTTTTTCAACAATTTAGACTACGAACTTCTCCCCGGCTTGTGTTAGCTTCTTTCCTTGACCAGCTGTACTAATATTATTAATCCTATTTTCCTTCTCATACTTTTTTATAATATCGAAGACAGTTGAAGTACTCCTCTTCACAATTTTCGAAACGTCTTTAATGGGGTTTCCTTCTTCTCGTAACTGAATAATTAGCTTTCGAATTTCGGTACAAGTATGAGTGCGTGGTGGCGTCATATTGTCGTGTTGCTTACCCATAGACTTACCGATAACTACTTATATGCATAAAAGAACATTCAATGTTTGTTCAGGTGAAATTCCACAACGATCAAAAGTACCGTTACTTGTAGAAGCTTACTTCTAGGAATTTTCCGGTTAGTTGTGTGGAACGAATTTTGTATGTTGCTTGTTGTTTTGCTAAGTTGTGTGCGGGGAATTAATTTATTACTATTTTTAAGTTTCCAAAAATTAAATAAAATATTTTTGCTTTAGTTTGATGGATCATATGTGACATTTTTTAGATTTAGACTTTATGATTGGATGGTACCATCATTGGCAATGCACGCATCCGGTTAGGCGTGTGAGTCACTGTATTTTTAATTACACTGTACACTTTGAAATATATCCAAAATATAGATTTATTGTAAATTTTTAAGATAATAAATATACTTAAAAAAAAGATATAAAAAGATATAGAAAGGTTCAGAACGAACACTTCATACATAAGGATTATATATTATATATAAAATAGGGATAAATAATGTTATACAATAATTAGTAATTACCGTTTTCAGTGTTTCACTTCTTTTTATTAACAGAGGTGTTCGATCGATGAGTGTTATTTTTTTTTTTGAAGCGCGGCCGAAGACCGACAGTGCCGAAAAGAATTATACCCGAAAGAACTATGAACATCCCGGTGTTGGACCGACCAGGGTTATTGCTGCTGAAAGGAGCTCAACGGGAAATAATATATAACTTATTTATTTAAGATAATATAAAATATATAAGTGAAACAAAGTTAATTTTGAACCATTTCCCTTTCATATGGTAAAGAGATTTTTTTTTCAATATTTTTTCACAATATATGAGGCAACACTGTTATTTGTCATGAATGTAAACACACACATTTCTTGAAACTGTCAGTGTGCATTACTTTACAGTTGTTAATCCTGAGGACCTTCTCTATTCGTCCATACCATCAGATCGCGGCGCCCAAAGAATCGTAATCGTGCCGAGAAACCTCCTGACTTTGTTTCTGTGGACAACCGTACCTTCGTTAACTTAAACAAAGCTAACTGGGTCGGCTTCACAAAATTTACCGAGAGCACCTTCACCGCACTACCCATTCCTATGGACGTAATCGCTGCGTATGTTAAAGCAGCATAACTGGACGAAATGGGTAGAGCACTTGAAGTCTTGTAACCTCTCTATAGGCGTGAGTAAGCTTTGGAAACTGTCAAGACGATATGGCGATACTTACTTTCATTAGCTCAGATGGAATAAATATGCTGATGCTAAAGCCTTTAGGCTCGACGGGAGTAAGCTTTCTAACCAAGGTCCTCAATCTGTTGCTGACCACTCATTAAATTCCCGTACTACTGCATTAAGTGTTATATATGCAGGTAGTTCATGGCCTAAACCAAAAGTCACCCTGTGAGATTGCGAATCTCGTAGCGTTGGACTTGTCAAAAGCTTTTGACACAGTCAACCACACCACGCTACTTGAGTACATTGAGCGACCCACCGTCCCGTTGAAGAGGTGGACTATAAACTACCTGAGCGACCGGCAATCATCCGTACTGTTTCGAGGTCAAATCTCCAAACCAAGAAAAATTAAACAGGGGGTTCCGCAGGGTGGTGTCTTCTCCCCGTTAATTTTTAACCACCAGAGGGGATTTCTATCACCTCGTACGCAGATGATTGTACGATATTGAAATCGGACAATCTTCGACCACTTTTCTGCAAGGTGCTTGACACTTTCCCACAACAAAATCCACAGAGACGATATTCAGTAACTAGATGAAGGAGTACAGACTGGATCTTAACATTACAGTCGATGGCATTAAAATTCGCAATTTTGTTCTCGATACTATAGCAGGTTAAACTTCTACTTATCCAGAATCGATCCCAACGTACCAAATATATGACCAGCAAGCAATGAGTCTCCGCATGACACTAACCACTTGTTTGCATGCCCAACGAACCGCACTCATCTAACACCTTTCTCCCTATGGTCCGACCTCATCGAAACAATACGTTTCCTGGGCCTACCGTTAGATGACTGACTACAATCAACCTGAACCTCACCACCCAAGCGGGGATTAGATAACCACTACAACAACAACAACATTAGCATAGGTCTCCAGGTTATATTATTTATCAGACTACCACTAGCGATGGTTATATCAGGCGAGCTATTACTTGTTCCATACTTCTGGTGGGGCTTCGTCGTTCATTGCGCAGGTTGTCGAATTATCTATATGTACCGCTCCATACCCACGATCATTTGACAGACTAGAATGTCGTTAAATTATACTAGAACCTTTATGCTACCTAGTCTTGCCATGAATTCTTGTTTACAATATACAAACATAATGTCAAGGAAAGATTTAATCAATATGATCTCCCCATGATAGGGAGATCTAGGTTTAATACATATTGTTTTCTGACTACATATGTAGAAATATTATATTTTTTAGAGTTTGGCGTCAGGTCAGATGTAAAATATCTTTTAGCTTTAATATTGTATATTAAAATATATTGAAGTCATCAAATACATAAATTTTTTTTGTTTTCTTAGGAACATGATTGATGTGGGAGCTATGGATTTACACAACCTTGAAAATGAAGAGTACAATGATCGAATAAAGCTATATTCTCAACGCCTGCAGCAACAATGGAATAGTATTCAACACCCTGAAAAAGAAGTATCAGGTACATATTGTATGGATAGAACGTATTTAATTAATTTAATATTGTCAGATGTGAAACCCCTATTCGAACGGACTCCATTTTGTTAAACTTCCAATTAAGGAGGAACTAGGGATTATTCGTGCGAAAACACGCATGTTTTTGTGAACTTTTTGTGACTTTTAAATCTCCATTAAAATCAATGGTTGCGGTAATGGCAACAATTATTCGAACGAAAAAAAGATGGTTATAACTTGGTGCTGTCGTATCCAAAATCAAAAATCAATGTTCATACGTAAGATAATAGTTTTTCCGAGGTAACGCTCAAACGTTTTTTAAAGGAAAAAAACGTGATTTTTTTCGAAAAACTCGGCTAATTTGTTATTGTAAAAATAAATATTATTAAGAAGTTTGAAAATAACTCTCGGGCGTTACCTGGTAAATTATATACCGAATTAGCGTTCGAGTTTTCAAAATGAGGGCCACCGACTTTGAAAACGTGAGTTGTGAGAAAAACGCTTTGTAAATTTTGTTCCAATCGACTTGAAATTTAGACACCTGATTCCTGAGATATTATTATGTATTATTTTTACTAAGCCTATATTTTATAAAGGCTAAACTTATATGTATCTTTATTTATGGGGAAAGCTATGTTTACACTTGACTTACGCTGACAATGTCCTATCGGAAGGCAAAACTGCAAAAGTCAAGTGGAAGATCAAAAATACACAAAGTTCCTACTCCCTCTTAATAGAACACTGTAGACGTAGAACCTATTGAAATTCGTGTCAAGCGCTGGCATCCTGAAGGATGCCTACTTCTCATAAACGGCACTCCATCTGGCATCGCTAAGGACCAAAGTTGGTCTATGCGTGACGCACGAGCCTACCAGAGTAACCTAACCTAACCTACGTCTACACTTGTAAATGGATGGCATTGTACAGACACAAACAATTGGTTAAAATCGAATGCCAATTACGTGGACTGATAAGACAAAGAAATATAGTAAACCTGCAAACTAAAGCCATATTTTAAAAACTCTCTTTGTAATCACTCATTTAACGCCTCTAGTATAATCAGGGATAATGGCATGCCCAACTCTTTCCAGTGTGAGAGCGCCTTAAAATTAGCGTTTTTTTTATAACATTTTCCATTGTAGTCAGATCGGACAAAATAATAATTTTGGGAATTTAAATTAAAATACCCAGTGTTTATTAAGATAAAATATTATTATATATGTATTCGTTAAACATATGCAGAAACTATTAAATCCATTTTTGTGATTTGTGATATATTAAAACAACTGATTTTTGAACTTTTAATACTTAAAAAGTGAAAAAATGTATTAACTCCCAATTAGTAAATGTTTCTTTTCATCAGTATTAATTAAAAATAACACTACGAAGCATGGCATCACAAAAGATTCCATCACATACATTTCAATTCGTGGTTTCTTTCATTTTCATTGTTTTAAAATTTTTGTTAGTGATCTTCAACAGTCCCTCTTTTTCCAATTGCTAAACGTCAGACCTCCTTAACTTTGACAATGGCCTGAGTTCATGAGGTTTTGACGTTTAGCAATTGCCCTCTCATTTCCATTGAGAGATGAGTTGGGCATCTCTTTATCTCTGGTATAACTAATCAAGATTTGTATTGCTTGCGAAGATATAAAATTATTGAAAAATATCGTAATAGAACTAATCATCATTTACTCGATAACAACCAACTTTCATGGAAAACAACAGTCAATAATGGAGTCGAAATATACTGCCCTTAATTATTGGTATATGATTTTTACAATTATTTAATTATTTAAGTGGGTTCATAAGCTTTGTTGCATTCAATTATTTGTGTATCCGAGATAGCAATTTATTGTTTTTATACATATATATCTTTCTTTTTTTATAGGATTCCTAAGAGATATATCAAATGCAAACGATCAATTATGTATAATGAACTCTCCAGACGATTTGTTGCAGGTAATTTAGTATTTAAAGTGAGTGGCTGATTTCGAAAACGTACTACTGCAAAGTATCGATACAATATTTATACATCTTCGGTTTGCAAAGTCAAACAACATTGCAAAATGATGTGTTGTATAATTTGACGTTACAGAACACTTTTACTGTAAAGATAAAAAATGTTAAAATTAAAACCGAATAGTTTAATTATAGATAATTTCTTCCGTTTCATCAAATATACAAGCACATCATTAAAATATATTATATTCTTGCCGTCATAAGTACATTATTGGCCATAATCTCTGAATTTAATGCAAATTTAGTATATATTACAATAATAAAACAACTAAAAACAACTTTATATGTGATGCGCGATTTTCTCTGTCACACTATTTTGGAATTTCGTTATGACTTCACTTCACTTCGCATGTACCATACAATCCTTAATTTATTGATATTTCGGAATCTATTTGTCGTGTGGATAAATTATTTTTATCATCACCCTTACTTTGTTTGATTTTATATTAGGTAAAGTAAAAAGTTCGTTCGGTTTTTATCTAAGAGATGGCGTTATTGTCCATAGTATTAGTGTTACGTGTCGCATCATGTCATACTATACGGCGCTAAAAACGTGTTTATTCGCGCTAAAAGTTTGTCTTTGACAGTTTTTCGATTGATTGATGGACACCAACAAAGAGAAAATTCGCTATATTTTACAATTTTTCTTCGATCAAGGCGAAAAAGCAGCCAAAGCGACTGAAAAAATAATTTAGTTTATGGGCCCGATACTGTAAACGAACGTGTAGCACAAAAGTGGTTTGCTAGGTTCCGTTCCTGTAATTTCGATGTCAAAGGTGCACAACGCGTCGGGAGGCCTGTCGTCGAAAATTGCGATAAAATCATGAAAATAGTGGAAACAGACCCTCACGTGAGCACTTATTTAATTGCTGAGGAACTAGAGATAAGCCAGAAAACCGTGGGGAACCATTTTATAAACTTGTATTCAAAAAGAAGCTCGATGTTTGGGTGCCACACGAACTAACGCAAAAACATGATGGACCGAATTTCCATCTGCGAATCGCTGCTGAATCGCAACTAAATCGACCCGTTTCTGAAGCGGATTGTGACTGGCGATGAAAAGTGGGTCACTTATGACAACATCGAGCGCAAACGGTCGTGGTCAAAGCTCGAGGAAGCGGCCCAGATGGTGGCCAAGACCTGATTGACGGCCAGGAAGGTTTTGCTGTGTGTTTGGTGGGATGCGCAAGGAATCATCTACTGCGAGCTGCTCCCCTATGGCCAAACGCTCAATTCGGCCCACTACTGCCAACAACTGGACCGCTTGAAGGCAGCACTCATCCAGAAGAGGCCATCTTTGATCAACAGAGACCGAATTGTGTTCTATCAGGACAACTCCAGACCACACACGTCTTTGATGATTCGCCAGAAGCTCCTGGACCTGTCCATGACAAACGCGCTTAATGGTGAGAAGTTGGCCTCAAGAGAGGCCTGTGAAAATTGGCTCTCCGATTTTTTTGGCAATAGGGACGCAGTCTTTTACAAGAGGGGTATAATGAAGTTGGCATCTCGTTGGCAAAAACATTTATGAACAAAACGGCACATATTTGACTTAAATCGGACAAATGCACACAAAGTTATCATCTTTTGAAAAATCAATAAAAAACCGAACGAACTTTTTACTTTACCTAATATTTTAACTTGAGAATGTTGACTTTCCTGACAACACTATTCGTTTCACGTCCGGTAGTTGATATGACAGCCGAAAAAAGAACTGCTCTTAAATTTATATCATGGCAGGGTTGCGAATTTTTTAATTCAAAAATTGTACACTAAAAATTAAATATTAATTTTTTAATACCGATGTTGGGATTAAAATTTGTCCTTTTTAGTTTTTAATCCATTAGTTGGGATTAAAAATTAAATTAAAGTACATTTTAATCCGGTTTGTGGGATTAATTTTTTTTATCTCGTATTTGGGATTACAAAATTTAAAAAAATTGTATGCATTATTTGCAACCCTTTGTTATGGTAATGTTGATTATCCATTAGCAGCCATCAGATTGTAAGGACTTCATAAAAATATTTTTACTTTTCACTTTATCTATTAACTACAAAGCAATTTGGTTTTCCCTGTAAAATTTCTTCAAAATATTCCTTTTTATTTTTTTGAGTTTTAGATAAAGCAGCTATCTCTAACTGGTAAACAGTTTTCATAACGCTAGTTGTATTTCGCTCATAAATCGCTATGTTTAAATTTCATACTCCCGCAACATGTTGCACAAAACATAATGGCGTTAAGCGATACCACATAAACTGCATAATTAAGACAGAAATTGAGCTAAAAAAACTCCGGTCCGTTCCGGTTACTTTTCTGACCCAACTGTCGTGGGAAAGGAAAGTACCATTTCTTGATACAGTCTGATGACTGAACGAAATCGGATAATAACCAGGCACAATAAATTCTTTCTGATCATTTCATTTTACCGTATGTAAATCAAGCACCCAAGAAAATATCAGAATTAATCTTTGCACTATATGCGTTATGTCCCTTGAACTTTGAAGCTTCTGGCTGGCTTCGTGATGTTGGATATGATAGTTTTCTGGCGAAAATGGGTGAAATCAGTTTTCAAATTACGCTATCCTGAAAACGCCACAGAAAGTTTTCGCGTCGTAATCAAAAAGTTGTCAAACACACACTAATTAGCATATGGAGATAAATAACTTCGCACGAACATAAAAAAAGGTTGTACCAATCTAGAAAATTTCTTTATTATGGATTCGGTTTGCGCAGGCAGTTTAAATGGACCAGTTTCGATGAAATGATCAGATGATATACTAATCAACATGCTCGATATTTTAATTTAGTTGAAGTGATTTAAAATATACAAATATCTCCGATATAAGCCACTTCTCGGCTTTTATAGCACAAACAGTCACCGACATTCCTCCCTTCCGTACTTACCGCCTGTATCAAACAAAATTTGTCAAAAGTTATCGCCGTAGTTGCAACGCAGAAATCAGTTGTATATTTTTGTTTTCATTTCACCAATGTGTTCTATTTGTATACACGATTTTTCACACATTTAGTTTTTTAGTTATCATTTTTCATAATGCTTAAAACTTAAATCCAACTATTAAAAATAGTTTACCTTTTTATAATTAAGTGTATTTGACTGTGATTTTGAGTTATTTTGTTAATATTTCAAATATATTCAAGTTCATTTTTTAATTACTACAAAATATCAAGGTTGGCCGCCTGAGTTGCAAGAGATTGCTCTCTCACTCTCAGCTCACTCGTTTCTACGGAAAAAATATCCAATTTTCGCGGATATCCTACCGTACGGTCTGTTGAAGCGGACGGTAGAAGCGGTGGTGACTGTTCATTTACATTGCTCTCTCATAAGATAGGTCGTATCAGCTTATTCGGTCCACGGTTTTGAGACGGTAACTGTTTGTGCCATTACATTTACACAACATATCGCTCAGCTGTTGGTGATCTCAATATACAGACGCTACAGTTTGTTAAACCATTAATGGGAAATCAATTTTATTTAACTATGTTCTAAATAAATCATTAAAAAATACATAATCGACAAGCAATTTTTATTTGCATTCGACTGCAATTATCGTGTTCGAATCTTTAACATATTATATACGAGTCATTTAATTCTTTCTTCATAAAAATCACAAAATACTTTCATAACGTAACATATCCGAAGTATCAACGTAGCATGCCCAAAACATACCCAAAATTGTATCATTGGCTTTGGGTATAGTTGGTATAAGTTAATATGATACTTGATTCTTTTTTACTTGTATAATATAAAGTTTTACTAAACCTTGGAAGTTTCTCCACGCTTTTTAGGCTTCAGAATTGAGAAGATATAAAATGTATAAGAGGTATCCGGTTATGCCTTTTATATAAAAATTAAAATTATGTTTTTGTTTTAAGTAATTTCAACTGTGATAGCTTTCTAACCCATTGTATTAACTAATCTATTTTATTTCTTTTTTAGATATCGAATTTTTTGCGTGAAAGTCACACCGCGTTATTAAATTTGCGAATCGATCACAACGAAGCGATAGTTGTGCCATTTAGAATACCATAGTGATATTTTTCTACTAATCCTTCGTTATAAAATAATAATAATAATTATCACCAACTAAATTTACATTTTATTATAAAAATAATAAGAAAATTAAACACGAGATTTGATAATGGTAATACGGATTAGTCCTTCACACTAGATACTTGATGAGTACTGCGGGCTGTAAGTGCTTAAACTGTTCGTTGGTAATGTGTCTGTATCTTCTCTCTTCATGTGACACAGAAGGAGTTTGACGCGATTGAATTATGAACACTCCGGTGTTGGACCGACCAGGGTTATTTTTTTGAAGCGCGGCCGAAGGCCGCCAGTACAGAACGGAGTTTGACGCGATTGAATTATGAATACTCCGATGTTGGACTGACCAGGGTTATTTTTTTGAAACGCTTCCGAAGGCCGCCAGTACAGAAAGGAGTTTGACGCGATTTAATTATGAACACCCCAGTTTTGGACCGGCCTGGGTTATTTTTTTGAAGCGCGGCCGAAGGCCACCAGTGCGGGGCAAAGGAAAGCGCTGAACACATAGATGACGACGAGCGACAGGCAGCATCTTTCCAATATTGAAATACACTACTACTTCTTACGGACACAGATATTGCTCTCCTTAAATTAAAACCATTTCTAATTTTGCCGACAACAGTGGGCAGCTGTCTTGCTGCCACTAATATGTGAAATGTAAAACTATTCAAAACTAACAATTCTAGCGTTATTTTTACCAACAGAAGAATAAAAAAGCTCTGATATATAATTTGTAATAACAATTGATAATTTAAAACATATAAATTGACGTATTTACTTACTTTTTGCACAAAAAATTTCACTTTAAACAAAATATTTAAATTTAATTGAAGTGAAAGGTTTTAGTACGGCAACAACGAAATTGTGCACATCAGCTGTTTGATATGTCGCTACTGTCTTCAAAATGTTCAAGAAGTTGACTTCAAGGCGACATTTGCCGAGAAGAAAATTTCGCGGTCGTGCAGTCTTCTATGTGTTCAAAGCATCAGACGTTAACGTATGTAACGCCGGATCCCCACAAGCAATGTACATTACTGCTAACCGTCTGTCAAATACATTGCCAATGAGATTGGTAATGTTCTTAAGTGGGCATTTGCTATCATGAAATATTCATTCTCGAAATAGCGTCGGGTGGGTATGTTCGAGCTGATATAGCGCATGTTTGAGCTCTTGAACTGTTTAAAAATTTTATGAGGATGACAAAAATGTATTTTTTGGAAAAATAAAATTTCATATTTTAAGACTTAAATAATTGTTGCATAAAGTTTCTTTACCAATTCAATTATTAAATATGAGCAGTGATATTTACATATGCTCACAATTATCATTAAAATATTAACCCTATATATACAGCTGTGTTCATAAAAATAGCACTGCTCATGAGCTGCAACTTTAAACTTAATTTTATATATCAAAAAGTAAATGAATGTTCACAAATTTAATTTTGTTTTAACTTTGTGATTATTTTAAACAAAAACAAATCAATTTATTATTCAAAATGTTGTTAATTTTTTTTACATTATTAATTTAAACAAAAAAGTGCTGTTTACAGCTGTTCATAAAAGTAGCAGTGAGTAATGAAAACATTACAATTAGTTGAAAAAAACATTGTTGAACTCCAAAAAACTATTTTAATTTGTTTGCTTGGGTTAGTACTTAGTAGTGTACCCATTATTTTTTATTACGGCCTGGCATCTGCGAGGCATAGAATCCACCAAGTCCTGGCAGCGCTTGACAGGGATCCGCTCCCATGATTTTTGAACAACCTACCAAAGCTGTGATCGAGATGTTGGATTTGCATTTGCAACATATCGTTTAACATCTCCCCATAGGTTTTCAATTGGATTTAAATCCGGATACTGCGCAGGCCAAGACATAAGATCGATCCGCTTTGATGCCATCCAGCTTTTGACCAGTTTGCTTGTATGTTTAGGGTCGTTATCTTGTTGAAACGTCCATTTTAGTGGCATTTCTCAATTGGCATAAGGAAACATAACATTTTCTAATATGTTAACATATACAGATCGATCCATGATCCCATCAATCATGAATATAGGGCCCACTCCACCATACCATAATACTCAATCCGCCGTGTTTAACTGTCTTCAAAGTGTACCTAGGATAGTACTCTGTATTAGGTGGACGTCTGACATATTGTCTGGAGCCCTTTCCACCAAATAACACAATTTTACTTTCGTCACTCCATAAAATATTTCGCCACTTTGTAATGGGCCAATTAAGGTGACTTTTGGCGAACTCCAAATGTGCTTTGACATGTATGGTGGCTAACAGTGGAACTTTTCGTGGATGGCACGCTTTGAGATTTTGTTCTTTAAGACGTCGCCGAATAGTAACGCCACTAACATTCAAGCTTGAGTCATAATATTTCTTTTTTTAGGAGTACAATGTTTGCCCCTGCCCACTAAGTTAAAAAATATAAATTTATTTTAGTGTTTTCTAATGTTAATAATAGCCACTAACACAAAACCACTTACTTTTTATCAATTAAACGTCTTAACAAAATTTTTTTGGCTTATCAAGATACGCACTGCTATTTTAATAAACAGCCAAAGACTGGTGCTTCTAGCAAAAAGAGTTTTTCATTTGCTTAAATCTCGCAAATCTAACGGGTTTTTTTCGTTTCTTCCTTATACACATTCCATTCTACAACAGCAATGCGCAGTCGTTGGAATAATCGTAACGGAACTTGAAAAAAATAACATTACTTGATTGCATTTCTCGCACTGCTATTTTTGTGAACACAGCTGTATATATATATAAGGACTGACATATATACACATACGTATTTAATTACTATTTTAAATTTTTTGTTAAAATTTATGTTTTAATTATTACTTTGCTAAATTTCAGTTTACGCAACGAAACGTAAAACACTGGTATTTTATCTTTACTGGCATCATGCAACCTAAGCTATACATGTACATGTTGCCTCTTCAAAATTCGTCTGCAAATGAAAACAGCTCTGTAAAACCACTAAAATGACAATTCATTGCTAGCAATGTATGGTATGAAATGTATTTAGATCAGTGGTCGGCATTTCGTAACACAATTGAGCAAGCTAACTTTACACGTACGCTTTCACTCTATTGTTTACTGCTGTCCCTAAATAAAAGCGGCAGCGGCAAGTTGTCAAAAAATCCTCATGCCCATAGATTTTGTATGACGCATACCTAAATAAACGCGACCACAACGCTAAGCGATTTTGACAGCGCGTTAAGAAGTAAAGCAATTCCCACAACAGCCGGTTCTGCGGTACCGGAATTGACCCGGATTTTATCCGGCCAAGGGCCTGTTATTTCGGCGATCTAACCCTGTTTGGATCGGTGAGTTTTAGATTAAGTTTGTCGTCATTGGAGCAACGTCTAGCAGCAGGGTTGCTCCGTATCCTCCTGACCCGTGCTGGCATCGAATCCAACCCGGGCCCCGAGTAATTTTACTGCTGCGTTTGCGCTAAAAGGCTCCATCCAAACTCCACCTCTGTTAGATGCAATACATGCAATGGATGGAGCCATCTTAAGACCTGTTCAGGCTTTAAGACACATTGGGAGTGAACCACAAGTTACGTGGCCCCATGCTGTCAACGCAATAATGCGACATCTGCCTCAACGGCTGTGCAACCTGCACCATGTTCGCGCACTGCGCTGCCACTCCAGTCGAGTGGCCAAGATAGGACCTCCACGGCCCTAAGGAGCTCACACAGACAGCATGACTCCCAGTCTGACCAACCTCCCCCTCCCAACCTTCATCAGACCACAATAGACCTAGAACAATCAACGCTCCCTCCAGGGCTGAAGCGGTGAGCTATGAACTACCTGAGCGGTCGGCATTCATCCGTACTGTTTCGAGGTCAAAACTCCAAACTTAGGAAAATTAAACAGGGGGTCCCGCAGGTCGGTGTCCTCTCCCCACTACTGTTTAATTTTTATATTTAGAAACTCCCCCAGCCACCAGCGGGAATTTCAGTGACCTCGTACGCTGATGACTGTACGATATTGACGTCGGGAAATGGAATCGATGGCACGTGTTCAAAACTAAACAGCTACCTCTCCGATCTTTCTCGCTTCTTCTATGCAAGGAGCCTAACACTCTCTCCCACTAAATCCACAGCGACCATCTTCACAAATTGGACGAAGGTGTACAGACTGGACCTGAATATTTCAGTCGATGGCACAAAAATTCCGACAGTAAATAATCCTAAAATTTTAAGCGTTACTTTGGACAGTCAGTGCTCTTTCACTCCTCACACGACCGCGATAACTGCCAAAGTACAGAGCCGCAACAAAATCCTCAAGTCGCTTGCCGGCAGCTCTTGGGGAAAAGACAAAGAAACGTTGTTGGCAACATACAAGGCAATCGGCCGGCCGGTCCTAAATTACGGAGCCCCAATATGGTCGCCTGGATGCAGTGACACGCAGAAGAAGAAGCTACAGACCTGTCAGAACACCGCTCTCCGAACTATCACGGGATGCCTCTTGATATCTCCAATCGAACACCTACATAGTGAGGCCCGTATGCTTCTGGTTAAGGACACAACGAACTCCTCTCCAAGCAGTTTCTACTGAGGTGTTTTCGTAGAAACCACCCCTGTAGTCGCCTGACTGTAGCGGAGCCGCTTCCTAGGAACATCAAGAGATCTTTCCTTGACTACGTCGACGACATTAGACAGTACGCCGACCGGACTTCGGACGCAACGAACTTTAGACATGCACTGACCGCCATTTACAGTGGAGCCATCAACACCTTTACCGACTTCCTCTCAGTGAATGGCGTACTTGAAGTCAAAACACCACCCATCGCAGACGTAGAGCTCGATCTGCCTCGCGAATCCAGAGTGACCCTCGCGCAACTTCGTTCCGGATACTGTAGCAGGTTAAACTCCTACTTATCCAGAATAGACCCCGACATACTAAACACATGTCCTGCGTGCAATAAGTCTCCGCATGACACTAACCACCTCTTTGCATGCCCAACAAACCCCACCCATCTAACACCCTTCTTCCTATGGTCCGACCCAGTCGAAACAGCTCGTTTCCTGGGCCTCCCGTTAGATGACCTCGACGACAACAAATCTGGAATTTATCACGCAAACGGGGACTAGGTAACCGTTACAACAACAACAACAAGTAAAGTAAGCTACAGAAAACGGAGAAATTGTAACTTTTCTAAAAATTTCTTGACGCGCGACGTTTAATGCTTGTACAAATGGATGTAAGTTTTTTTTAATAAATTAATTTGTTTTACATTTGATTTATTTTGTACTAATGTTAGAATTTAAGCGCGAATTCGATGTAAAGTTGTTCATTATGAACTATATTTTGTGTTTTACTTTACTTGAAGGCAATAAAATAGAGGTTTTTATCGTCTGATATGTTTATGTCAATCGTACAATTATATAAAATAAATCAGGAAGCATGAAAGTACTTGTTTAAACAAAGAATGAAAAATACTCACAAAATTTAGGGTAACAGAGTTCTCAGTGGGTGCCTTTAATTTCGTGCTTACCTACATAGTCGCAGTTTCTCATGTCGACCACTGATTTAGACATCAATTGCTAAACTGTTGAGATGCCCCTTAATTGCTGATAGTTTTCCTGTATCGGCTAATTCATGCGCTAATTACCAATAATAACATGATACGAAACTCTTTGAATCGAGAGAGCGCTGTTAAAGTTTGTATTTTTTTTTTTTTTTTTTTTATAACATTTGATAGTGCTGCCACTAAG